TTAGTTTTGCATCAACCAATAAAATTTGCATTTTTCAAAAAAATTTCAGGAGGTGAGCAATATTTCGGTTCACCCTGGGTGAGGAATATGTATACCCTAAAAATTATTATATTATTCGATTTTCATATTTAATAATAGTGTTACTAGGAAACCGACTATTTAAACTGGATTGAGTTTTATGTTGGACTTTCAATAAATCTTGTTTTTAATTTAATAGTTAAAGTCTGAACAATGCGTTCATGTTTTTGTTTTCTTTTCCAGGTCTATGTTTAATTACAAAATTATAAGGTTGTAATTTAAAAATCTATCGAGCATGGCGTTCTTTCATAGAATTAGTATGTAACCAAGTTAAAGCAGAGTAATCAGTAATAATTACAAATAGTTTTATGCCTAAATAATAATGGAAATGTTCAACTGCCCAAAAGATGGCTAAACATTTCAATTCAATTGTAATGTAATTTTTTTGTGCTTCTTGTAAGATCTTACTTGCATAAGTAATTACTTGTTCTAAGTCCTGATCATTTAATTAGGTAAGAACTGTGTCAAGTTCTTTAGAAGATTCATCTGTTAATAGGTAAAAAGGTTTTTCAAAGCCTGGGTGTACCAGGATAGGTGAAGTTGTCAATTTCTCTTTAAGGGTATTAAAAAATTGTTGGTATTTCTTTTTCCATTTAAAAGGTACTTCTTTTTGTATTAATTGATGTAAAGATCATACTATTTTAGAAAAGTTATGAATAAATTTTCTATAGTATGAGGTTAATCTTAAAAAGCTTCAGACTTTTGTTATATTCTTAGGTCGAGGGAAGTGTTGCACTTTCTCAATTTTTGTTAGGTCAGTTGCGATACCTTGATCACTAACAATATGACCTAGAAATTCAATTTATTTCTTCAAGAAGTGACATTTGTCAGGGCCTAATTTAAGACCAGCAGTACATAGTCATTTTAGTACTTCTTTTAATTTCTTCAAATATTCTTCAAATATTTTGAAATAAATATTAATATCATCCAAATAGACAATAATATCTTTATATAATAATTTATTAAAAACTTGATTAATAAGTCATTGAAAAATAGCCGAAACGTTAGTTAACTCAAATGACATTATTGTAAATTCATAGGTTTCTTGCTTCACAATAAAAGTAATTTTCTCCCTATCACTAGGGTCCATTTTAACTTGTCAGTATTCACTTACTAAATCAAGGGTGGTAAACCATTTTGCATCTTGCATTGCGCTTAACATATTATCTATATGAGAGATTAGATAAATATCCTTTTTTGTAAGAGCATTCACTTTCCTATAATCAATACATAGATATTATTTTCCATTTTTTTTTACTTTTGCTTACAATAACTACTGGAGAAGTTCAAGGGCTAAAAAACTTTACAACTAGTCTTTTTTGTAGTAGTCATTGGATTTCTTTCTTTATAAATTACTCTTCAATTAGATTGGAACAGTAAAACCTTTGTTTTACAAGTTTCTCAATCCCAGTGTCAATTTTATATTGAATAATATTTGTTTATCCTAATTGACTAATATCTGTTGCAAACATATCTTAATTCTCTTCAAGTAACCGATTGAATTGTTCTTATTATTTAGTACTTAAAGTACCAATATTCAATTCAGTTTTAACTAATAAGTCTCCCATCATTACAGAGATTTCATCTAAAATATCCTTATCATCCTCACTATCACTTTTAGATTTCAATTCTGAGTTACTTTTCTCATCTTCAGATTCAATAGAATTTGAATTATCACTTTATATATCATTTTCAATTTCATTTTCTTTATTATCATCACTTTCATTTTCATTTCCTTCAGAGAAATTCATTTCCTCTTTGGAATATTCAATACAGTCTTTGAAAACATCATCATCCTCATCATTCTTCTGTTCAGAAAATTCTTCTTCACTTTCTGTTTCACTGTCACTAAACTCTTTTTCATTCTCAATTTTAGGAATTTCCATCATATTTTCTTGAATACAGGAGGTAAATAAAATTAAATCTTTATTTTTCCACTTTAGGATTAACTCCTAATTTTGCTAATTATAATTTCCATTAGCTTTTAGAGCTAGTTATTTCCTAAGATAAGAGTATAGGTAGTAGCTTCAGTAACTTCTATATCAATAGGAATAGTATACCTTGCAATATTCAAAGAGAAGTCCCTAATGACTTCTAAAGATCAGATATTTTCTTCTATTGCAGGTAGAATAATACTATTAGATGATTCATCAATAGAATATTCTAATTGTTCCATAGTATCTCAGGTTATTATACTGATGGCAGCACCACTATCAACAATAGTTAGTACTATACATGTTCCCAAAATTGATTTTGGATTTTTGAGGTATTTCGACTTTTTGAGATTTATACAAAATCTATTCTATATATGGAAGTAAAAAAAGTACCTAGTTATATGTATCTTTAATCAAAGAATAAATCTGGGTAGTCAAAAAATTTCGGGTTTTAAGTAAAATAATTTCGTCTTCTATGAAAAACTATTTCGACTTTTTTCCCCAAAATTGCAATTTCGGAACCCCAAAATAATTTTGCGTGCAAGTATAGTTAGTACAGTATATCCATCAATATCAACAGCCATTTTAATGAAATAATTCGTGATCAAAATTCTTGATCTGCAGTTTTCACATCAACTTTTCTGGGAGCTTTTAAATTCTTTAATAAAGTATATTTCATTTCAGAAAGTTGAAACAATTGAGATCAAATAATTCCTACTTCTTATTTTTGTATTTGTTCAATAATATCAAATTCCTTAGTATGTAATAATTTAGTAATTTCCTTTTTCTCTTTCTTGGCAGGTCTTTTCTTTTTATTGGAGTTTTTCTTTTTATTATCTCTTTTTGTTATGATAGGTTTAGTTTTACTTTCACTTTTGAATTCTTTTCAAAAAGGAATTCTAAAAGTATTTACTTCAGGAATTTTGAAGTAATCGTCAGTTCAAGACTTTTTCGTTTTCTCATCTGAACTGTTATCATCTTATTCATGTTTTCCTAAATAAGTTTCCAAAAGCTAATTTAATAATCCTTCTTCCTCACTGCTGAGTTCATCTTCAGTTACCTCGGCATATCTAACAGAATTATTTTAGTAATCATGTTGTCACTGGTGGTCCTTGGTTTTATCAAGAACTACATAGTAAAGTGACTTAATGATTCTTTTAAGGAGTTTATAGTTCTTTCCCAAAGGTAAGACTGTTGTTTCATTATTTTAGAAGGCACCACTGATTCAA